TACGTCAACGATTTTAATGTAAAGAGTTAAGTACCCCACTGATGAAAATGGTTTGGCTGGCCTTCACGTATAACTACCGGATTCAGAGACTTAGAAAACGGCGCCCCGACAAATTTCGGGCCTGAATTGCAAATTAGCTTTCTTTTTTACATAGCTATATAACCTCAGTGTGAAAAGTTCTCGCGAGAAATTATCCGGATGTCGACGGATTCAAAATCCAAGAGGATATAGATGGAAAGCTGATAAAGGACAGGTCGGTGCGGGAAAAGAAACTGCTGTTGGTGTGCAAAAACTAAATCAAGTATAACGCGAGAAATGAGCTGTAAATTATCTTTCAATGAGCGATTGTTTTAATTTGAGGTTACAATCGTATAGCGCCGATTACGCTGACCGGCCGTATGTTCTGCATTCTGTACGGACTGTGCGGCATACCAGTCACAATGATCACTATCGCCAATGTTGGCCGTTATCTTAACACATTTGCAAAAAACTGCAAACAAAAGGTTTGTCTGCAAAATTTTGTTAATAAGGGAATGCAGAAGAATAGCCAAATGCGGGAAAAAGGAGTGCAGCTGCATTCGGAGGCATATGATGACTTTTTTAAATAAATTTAGGGCACCTGCTTGTGTGCATATCTGTCATGACCTAAATTTTGCCTAGCCATTTATGCAGCTGACAACTTGCTTCTTTGACCGGCGCTGCACCGCTCGATGGTCAGCCTAATTGCGATCTTGACGTTCGTTTTGTTTTCTGAATGGATTGCCAGTTCGGTGGTTCTCCCAGTAGAAGCCCTTGATATAACCCTTGATATATATGCAGCAAACCCTTGATATATATAATATGTCTGTTCTCCCAAAAGATGCCCTTGATCGTTTATCTGTCATGTGATTTCGTAACGTTATTAACATGGTATATCGCTAGCAGTGTTGTTTAGTGAACAGGGGAAAATTGTAAAAAGCAGTTTTTTAGAGACGGTATAAAAGCGTGGTTTTTCAAAAATTCGATTATGCTGCTGAATGGAAGTATTGACTCAAAGACGAAAAATTGATTTTAATTAAGTTAGAATTACTCTTTTGCTTAAAACGCTAAATTTAAAAAACCGGCCTTTATACGGGCGGTTGTTATGACCATACTGCCGAAGAAAGCGATAACTTCTGGTGGCATTTCGGCAGCGGAATTTCGTAATTAAATATTACTAATATTTTAAAAAATATAAAAAATGAATGAAAAAATAAGGGAGTTAAAAGAGTATATAACGATTTCTCCAGAAGCGATATTTTAATGCTTTTTAATTATTCGTGACCGTTGCACAGTATTTCCTTGTCTTTCTTCTCATAGGCAAGCAACAACCAGTACAGTGCTTTGACAGCATTGCTAATCAAGCAACATTATCACTGATAATTGCTGGACAACTCGAAGAACTCTTGCTTTTATAAATGTGGGAAGAGACACAAGTTTGTAGCGTCATGCACAGTTTGTAAGCGATATTTAAAACCATTGGCGACCCGCACCGGGCGGGCCGGTGCGGTCACGCGTTTTTGCAGTATTTCGTGCTGTAATGAGATTGGTCGAAAACCTAGTAGCTAGGATTTGCGACATTCTGGTCCACGAAATTCGGGAAGTTAATTGTTTACGCAGTACTTGGACAGGGAACATTCCGCTAAAATTTCAGCTTTCCAACTTCTTTGACTCTAGAGTTAGCTATTTTTCTGCCAAAAATTTCGTGGGTCCGTGCATGAGAACCATACGTTTCGGGAGCTGAATTTGATATCTTTAACTTTTACGGGGGCTGGAAACATACTCTTAAAATTTCAGCTCCAAGCTTTCCTATTTCCCGAATTAGTCATTTATCCGCCAAAAAATTTTAAGGGGCCGTAAGTGAGAATCACGATGCCTGAAGGCTAAATCTGGTAAATTTTTGTTGCACATGAGCTGGGAACATTGCTTGAAAATTTCAGCCTTCTAGCTTTCTAGGTTCCCGAGCTAGCCATTTTCCCGCTAAAGACTTCCATGGGGCAGCAGATGAGGACTACGCATACCCATGAGATGAATTCGATGATTTT